CAAAATAATTGTAATCCACAACATGAAGAAGGGGGGGAATCATATACAGCAGAGAGCAAAAGTGATTTCTCTAGACATATGATATAAACACTCACAATTGTTTTCATTAAGTTTGTTCAAGCCTCCATCACTCGCAAAACATCACAAGGAGTATTAGCAAGACTTAGTGGTATGTTTCCACCTTATGGGAGCCCTTGCATGCAACAAAAGCTAATAAGGTATAGGACCTCTCAGACTATAGGAGTAACAATGATAGAAAGCTATTGTAAATGGGAGGTTGTATTTAGGGAATAGAGAAAGGGCTTTCAGAGTTTAGAGGGGGGGGTTAACCAGGATCTGTTGTATCTTTCTACATTTTACTTCTTTCACAAGAATTTACATTGCATAGTGGACTATCCTGCGGGTTTGGATTTTGCTCCGGGTTATGTTCTGTTGGAAATTGGAGTAAATAAAATAGTGAGATGTTGCAGAGATAATGATCGAAAGGAAAGTTTTGCACAGTCGATGGAGCTGGCTTTGATGAAGATAAGAGAACCTCGTATTGTATATAGAAACAAGAAAGCAGTTGGGGGGGTTGCGTGCGGGGGGGGAGGGGTAGAGAGGATTGACTTGGAGAGAAAGAAAGAAAGAAAGAAAAAGGGAAACATTGAGGTGACAACTTTTTACTGCTTTCGTGCCCTGATACCAGAGGTATGCACACTACCATAATTTCAAGCCATGAGTATCTAACTGCTATTTTAAACATGTTCGCAAAAGCAAAGCGACATGCCAGTAGAAACAATATCTTTACCTGTTGACTAAATTATTTTTTGCACCATGCCACAACAGGTCTTCATTATATCGAGTGATATGCGGTGATTGCACATTATTTCAGACTGCCTGACTGTTATGTTTATTGTCAGAAGAGTTGACTAAATATTATGTGGGGTGAGGGAACACTTCTGTATTCAAGGATGAAACTTCTTGCTTTGCCCTTCACCTTTTTCTTCCTTTTCTCCTGCAGCATGTCACGTTCTGTGTAGGTAGTTAGATGCAGAATGGTGTCATTGGTCTCTGTGGGTATGCGGAGTGGTGTATTATGTATACGTACCATATCAGTTTGTGCCGAACGAGTGCTTAGAGCCGAACTGGTTGTCAGGGGCGGGCTTAGAGAAAGCAGAAAATGAAAACATATTTCAAGTGGATACTACCCTCTAAGGTGCCCAAAAAAACACTCTAGTAGCAATCCCTTAACTTGCCAATTCACCATAATCCCATGAGTACAAAGTACAAACCTTAGCTGCTCCACTCCGCTTACCCTCGCACTCAGTCCACAACTGATACCAGGATAATAAACTTGATTGAAACCTACATTCCAAGGCAACGGAAGATCAGGCGCTGATTTGGTATGGAGCTTACCTAATCTGAGCGCTAACCCAAAGGTGACAGCAGACTGTTGGGTATTTATATTAGACCACTATACTAGACCACTATACCGACAAACGCCAAGACGACAACTGACACCTGGCTTCTTATTCAACCATCTATCCTTCCTCCCTCTCCCTCTCCTCTTCTCACCCACCACCCAACCATCTCCATTCTCCCTCCTCCGAACACGCCAAACACATCCTCCCACGTTAATACATCCTACATGTTAAACACATCCTACACGTTAAACACAACTACCACAACCGATGCTATCCCTTAAGGGCCCGTAGATACATCAGCTCGCTCAAGCACCAGCGATACCGTCAGCAGGGGAGACAGATCAACACATGGCACAGTGCCATGATGCAGGCACGGTTTGGATTGTGACGTGGTGGTGGGCTGTAGCTATCGGCTTCCTAATCGGGGCTTTGTGCGGCTTTTCCGTAACACTAGCTTTGGCCAAACGTGCCGCATCACGGGTCACTGATGCCCGCACCAACATCCATGCCCACCCCAGTATGCCCGCCATTGTCATTGTGCATCTCGTAATCCTCGTGATAGCCGAGTATGCTCTCGTCCTCGTCGTTCGGATTGGGACGTAGTGGTGGGTATAGGTGGCAGTTGTGGTGAGGGTACGGAAAGGTGGCTTGTGCTTTTTGAGGAAAATAAAAGACGGTTCGACGATGAAACGAACGAGTGATAGGCTGTGACTGCAACGGAATTGCCGATGATCTAAGCGAGAAGGCAAAAGCGGGGAAGGTAAAGACTTTTCACTGATCAAAACTCACGACGATGGGATTCAGCTTCAAGTTATCGGTAAGGAACGCAACTCTCTGTTTCGCACACCTAGCTAATGAGTGGAAATAACAGGAGATATAAATAATCCAAAACGAACACTGAAAACATAAGTCCATCCATCCACCGATTACCACACGTATCCATTTCTTTCACACCCTCCGCTCCCTCTCAGATCCCCTGTACTGACAAAAGAAAGAGATCCTCCTGAAAGAACTCCCACTGCCTCCGCGCATCCCGCTCTTTGTCCAAGCGCCCACAAAGATCTCGCTCCTGCCTCCCCAGCCTCCGCACACCTTCCTCCCTTACAAGGGACTCTCCCGCTGATCACTTTCCTTCCGGCATCCCCATGCCCACAGCCATCTCCCAGCCACGAACAATAACGGGCGACGAACAACAACAGATGACGATGGGTGAGGAACAACGACAGGTAACGACGGGCGATGAACAAGGACAGGCGACGAACAACGACGGGCGGTAACGGGAGATAAGGACAGATATCGACGACGGGCGATGATGGGCGATAAAGACGGATATCAACTGCGGATATTAACGACGGACAGCAACGGCGAATGAAGGCAGTTATCGACGACGGAGAGCGACCGTGGATAAAGACGGATATCGACGATGGATAGCGATGGTGAATGGAGACGATAAAGTGATGCAGGTAGCGAGCATGCCGAGCAGCATCTCACGATTTCCAATACTTTTCTAATTGAAAGATGAAATTTTAAACCTTTGAGCGCATATCCGTAAAACGTACCACCATAAGGATTGAAGTTAGGTGATATGTAGGCCTTTCGACTGATTCATTCAAAAAGATTGAATTGCAGGCACTCTACTTGAGCAGTGCGTTCATTCATGGCAGTGCCAAATACATGTATATTATAGAATCATTGCCTAGGGGCCCGCTTACCTCATCCGAACTCCGAGCAGGTCAAGGCCCGTTCCACCTCACCACTTGGTCCCCCCGAACCTCTTTTGCACCTTGGACATTCGATAAGCGCTCCACGTTCTGTGACCTACGCTGTGCATCCAACCTCTGGACTGTCAGTTCGGTGGAGGCGGAAGGCTCTGATAACAACCGGGGGGATGGTTTACCACGCAACCCCCCCCCTCATGCGGGCTGCTTGAACGGGCCTCCTTGGGCCGCCATGCGAGGACGATGGCGCTGTTATACCCCCCCGACATTCATGTGAGATGTGCTTGGGGGAAGAGGGGCTTGTTACCGGCGGGTATGTGCCCTTCTCAACAGGTTGTAAGGGGACCGGGTGAGGTGCCGGAGAGAAGTGGTGGTTGGAGGGGGGTCAGTCTCCGGATGCGATGGGCAGTATTCTGGAGCAGGCATCCTGGAGAAGGCTCATGAAGATATTGCTGAAATGTACGTAGAGGCGACTACACTAGCGAGGCCAGCCCGGGTTATCTAACAGTTACGTATCCAGATCCCCGCTCGTCTCGCTAAATATCGATGCGATTCCGCAAGAATCCATAGGGAGATGTGGTGGATTCAGGACTCGGAGGGCGCTGTCAAACAATTAGTGCGCCTGGCGGTAGTCGATGACAACAGACAAGCATTTGAGCAAGTATCCAGGGGAATGTTCTCGGCAGAACCTGACCCAGCCTTCGCGGTCAAGGGTGCAGCGATTGACGAGGAATTTTTGGCACGCATGGAGGCGCTCTTTGCCAGGTTGAAGCGTGAGAGGGATGAGGAGGGCCAGAGGAAGGGACCCCTGGCCCAGCGGGAGATGGCGCACAGGGAGGTCGCTGCCATAGCTCTGTCTGAGCGGCAAGCGGTGAGCATTGTGGCCATGAGCGCTGCCGCCGCCACCGCCGGTAGAGCGATACTTGATAGTTTCTAGCTCTAGCAGCCACGGAAGAAGAGAGTAGATCAAGCAGCTTGTCGGAGGGGTTTGTAGTCGATTGAGGTGTTGGGCAGGGTTGGGTTAGAATATGGAAGGAAGTGGGTGACAGCCGTGGTGAGTCTTTCGATTACTTGTTGTGCTTTCAGGTTTATGTGAGTAACGAGTACAAGGGAGCTGGGACGTGCGGTGGGGGTAGCGGCCGACAATCTCCGGGGGCATTAGAGGTTATTAGTTGGGGCAATTAGGAGATACAGTCTCCACCGGGGCATGGCGAAACTGGGCGGATGGCGGACAGGGGCACTTCATGGGCAAAAATGAATTCGTCAAGGTTAGGATTACAAAATATTACTGGTAATTGATTCCTGTTCGTCACACGCCCAGTTTTGCCATGCCACCAGTGAGGACTGTACCCCTGTGGGTGTGTGAGAGGATATCCGGCGAGAATGGAGAAAGAGAACTTTGTAGGGGCATATCAAGTAATGGATGTCTCAGCAGTGTAGGGGACACAGGTATTACACAATTGGCCCAAATTTAGCAAAACACTTGATATGGGATGAAGTAAATATATGAGGTCGTGATACTGAGTGATGTTCTGTGAGGAACGGTATAACGGGCCTCTGTGGGGGTGCGGAGTCGGGTGTGCTTTGGGCTATATTGTGTTGCCTGGGGCGAGTGCTTGCGGTTGAATTGGGCTTTTGAGGCGGACCGATGGAAGGGCGGAAACAGAAGGATATTTATATGGAAATTGATACCTGCCCGCCCTCGGCTACCTTAGTAAGCCAATCTGTGCCAAGCCTCGCCGAGGGTGTTGCCTTGCTGAGGGCACCTCCAGTATATCTAGCCTTATGCAATAACCGTCGCACCTGTTCCACAGAACCTTAAAGGCTCCGTAACAAGAACGATTGGTACTCGTACCACTAAGGGGGCACCACTTTCTTCTATATCTGCGACAAATCTCCGAAAGAATGCCCGCCATGCCCGCCCAGCAAGCCAATGCCTATCCAACCCCCCCTGACAGTTTCCAACCCATAGAGCCTGAGAGACCATTCGACATGCATTATTATCTTACGGAAGGGCTAGAGGGTGTAGGACATCATGAATATCGTGTTATTCATTCGTTCAAAGGGGCGGTCAATTCACGAGCTGACGCATTGTGTTCGGGTGAAGTTGACGAATACTTTCCCCTGTAGTACCTAATTCTTTCCCCAGTAACACCACGCCAACTTGCGAATATCTACCATGCTCGCAAAAACCGCTACAAAGGACTCCGCTTCCTCTACCTCAACGAACCGAAGAGATTGATTGTTAAATATATGCCAGGTCTAGTGCACGAAATAGTTAGCGATGAGTTTGCTCAAACCATCAGGATCAAGATGTATTTGGGGGGCTAGAACGAGGAGATTGCTAGTACACGGAGTACCACCTATCAAGGCAAACTCAGTTCTAAAGAAGCGGATGGGTCGTTCACACCTCTCCGAACTCGTCCCGACCACATGGATTGGCCCACGATTATCCTCGAGTGCGGCGTATCTGAAATGCCACGCCGCTTGAAAGCAGATGCCCGCTGGTGGTTCGAAAACTCGGACGGCGCTGTTATCCTTGTCCTCCTCTTTTTTGTATCGGTGAGAGACAAAACTATACGGATTGAACTGTGGAAACGAGCCACGGTTGAAAATCTACAACCAACTCGCGGTAACGATGGAGGTGAAGTTACCGGACCAACTCTCCAAAGGGTAATCAATATTACCCCAGAATCAGTTACCGGTGCCCCTTTGAAGTTGAAGTTTGAAGATATCTTTTTACGCAAGCCTAAAACAAAGCGTGGAGAGGCAAATTACACCATCACCGAGCACGATTTGAGAACCTATTACAATCATGTCTGGCCCCCCGTACCCGAAGCCAGTTCTCAAGATGAGTCCTGTATGTCAACCCTATTGCTATCTCGCATGAATTGCGGCTAAAGCTAATTCTAGCAGCCGCGGAAGCAGAGAGCAGAGCAATCAGCGCGTCGGAGGGGTTTGTAGTGGACTGATGTGTGGGGCAGGGATAGGTTGGAGAGGGTGACAGTGGCGGTGAGTCCTTCGATTACTTGTTGTGCTCTCAGGTTTCCAGAGTAGGGGTGGATGAAATGGCTAAACGAGTTGCTAGTTTGGTGGGCGAATATAAATTATCCTGAGAGCTCCTCAGCAGCATCTGCTTGAGGAATTTACCCCCCTATCTATTACACCGGAGGTTACCTCTACTGCGTCTGTACCTTGAACGGCTTTCTCGAAGAAAAATACAGCACCCGGTGAGGATGTGGCTCCTAAGAACTTTGAGAATTGGGACTGCTAGTGCTGAAAAAGAAATTATGAGTCCTGTTTTCAAAGAGCGAGAGTGGAAGTTCAGCCCCTCTACTAAGGTTGAGGAAGAGGAGGGGGTGATCCGCGACGAAAAGTCTTCAAGGTGTTGTTGCAAACCATGTTTATATACTATTACTGCATTCTCGAGTGAGGCTCTGTGACTGCTCACGTCACCCTCTTGTTTGCCGGTCTACTTCTCTACATTGCTTTCTCTTTTCCTCTCTTCTTTCTTACAATCACCTCCTTTGTCTTGTACCGGTAGCAATAAGAATAATCTTGTCTCTGTTCATTTGTTCTAATGGGTGTGGTTGGGTGATGTGATTGGGGATGCTGGTGAAGACGCATTACAGTCACTACTGGGAGCACGACGAAACTGGGCGGGTGACGAACAGGGATCAGTAACAGGCAGATTTCTGTTACCCTACTTTAACGAGTAAACTTTTTGCTGGCCAAATACCCCTGTTCGTCACCCGCCCAGTTTCGTCATGCCCCCAGTAGTGACTGTAGTAGCTGCCTGCAGCCTGGCTGGTCCGAGTGAGTGCCGGTGACCACCGTGATTTGTGGTGATAAGGGTTGTGGGGGCTTAGGCCGAGTTGCGTGCGATCTTTGGGTTTTCTTGTATGGAGGAGGGTTGCGCAGCCAGTTTGCTGGTGAGTTGTGGTTTTGCTGGATGGGTATCACACACCACACACCCCCACGTACCACACCGCCACGAACTAAGTAGAAACCTATCTATCCCAGGACACACAACTGAGGGTATTTTTGAACACTGTCACATGTCCCCACACTTTCTTTTGACCCCTTACCGTGAAAACGAGTATCCCGAGATTATGCGGTACATGGTCTTTTCTTCTCAACAGACTATGGGTTCTTGGAGTGTTGATGCACTTTGGGGTTTTCCAATTTTGGCTGCCTTCTGCTCACTAACCTTGCACGATAAGGGCGTTGATCATTCCAATTCTTGTGGGCACAGCAGAGTAGAATGAATAAAAATAAAATTGAAAAACGCTATATCATCTGCTCCACCCGCGCGCCACCGCTACCTTCCCTACATCCCCTCCTCCTCAACATCCCACCCAAAACGACCCCTCACCAAACAGAACTCGTGTTCCTGGCTTATACAACTGACCCAGATATTCCCGAAGCGCAACACGGGTGTCCTCTCCACCCGTTGGAGCCGCGCCTCAAGCGACTCCAACCACTAAGGAAACAGAAACCGTGGCAGGTCTTATTCTGCCATTCGTGATCATTATTGCCGCCGCACCCAAGCCGGCAACCAACTTCACCCACACTCCCGCGTAGTCCCTCCAGTAATTTTCGCGAACTGGGATTACCGAGTTAGAAATCAGGTTTATAGGGAACATGGAAATGTCTTAAACCGACAAGCCGGCATCCACGATGTCAATTAATGGATTTGCGGTGGAGAGATGGTAGGTGTATGAGCAGATGGTTGGTTGATGAGAGCGCGGAAAATAATGGATGCAGAGGAAACGATCAGTGCAGGGATTTTTGCACAGCGGAGGGGAACGGCACAAGTGAATGTGCTGAGGTTATGTTAAGCGGTGATAGAGACTATGATTTCATTGTATGTATTGTGGTATATCAGAATAGAGAAGAGAGAATAGGAAGGAAAGAGGGTAAGAGTGGAAGAAGGAATGAAGGAAAGGTCCCGGGTAAGAGAGGACAGGAGGAAAACAGGAGCGTCCTCACCAGCGCATACGTATACCATCGCGGCCATAAGAGTGTGGGCACTTCTGCACCAAGCGCTGCTCTTTCCAACAGAGAGGAATGCTTTCCAGGAAAGTCAATAATATATCATAGCAGCTGACTTTACGTATAGCACCGTCCATTGGGCAACCTTTAGCCTGGCCCTGCGTGGTGTGGCGCTTATATAATCCCAGTGCTAACCCGGTGGTGAGTGGACAAGATTGCTGGGTGCGTGAGTCATGTGTGACTGTAAAAAACAGTTAGTATCGGTGGTGCTGGTGCCGTGACGGGCCTTGTCGACCGTTGGGGAAACAGTATTCATGTTAAACCGGGGTGCCTTCAGCAATGAGCGACGTGCTTTGGCTGCAACACCTTCCCGCTCTTGGTTACCCTAGAAAGCCAATCCGTGCCAAGCCTGGCCGAGGGTCGCTGAGGGCATGCCCAGTCTATCTGGCCTTATGCTACAATCATCGCACCTGTTCCTCAGAACCTGAAAGGCTCCATAACAAAAAACCATTTTCTATATCTACAACAAATCTCCTAAAGAATGCCCGCCATGCCCGCCCAGCAACCCGACTCCTATCCAACCCCCTCCGACTGCTCTCAACCCATAGAGCCCGACTCCTATCTAACCCGGTCGGACAGCTCTCAACCCACAGAGCACGACTCCTATCCAACCCCCTCGGACTGCTCTCAACCGATAGAGCCCGAGAGACCACGCGACATGCATTATTATCTTACGGAAGGGCTAGAGGGTGTAGAACATCATGAATATCGTGATATTCGTTCATTCAAAGGGGCGGTCAATTCACGAGCTGACGCATTGCGTTCGGGTGAAGCTGACGAATCCCTTCCCCCTTACCTAATTTTTTCCCCAGTAACACCACGCCAACTTGCGAATATCGACCAGGCTCGGAAAAACCGCTACAAAGGACTCCGCTTTTTCTACCTCAACGAACCGAAGACATTGATCGTTAAATATATGCCGGGCAAAGTGCACGAATTGGTTATCGATGAGTTCGCTCAAACCATCAGGATCAAGATGTATTTGGGGGGCCAGAACGAGGAGATTGCTAGTACGCGGAGTACCACCTATCAAGGCAAACTCAGTTCTAAAGAAGCGGATGGGTCGTTCACACCTCTCCGAACTCGTCCCGACCACATGGATTGGCCCACGATTATCCTCGAGTCCGGCGTATCTGAAACGCCACGCCGCTTGAAAGTAGATGCCCGCTGGTGGTTCGAAAACTCGGACGGCGCTGTTATCCTTGTCCTCCTCTTTTTTGTATCGGTGAGAGACAAAACTATACGGATCGAACTGTGGAAACGTCCCACGGTCGAAAATCCACAACAGACACGCGGGAACGATAATGATAAAGTTATCGGACCAACTATCCAAAGGGTAATCAATATTACCCCAGAATCTGTCACCGGTGCCCCTTTGAAGTTGAAGTTCAAAGAAATCTTTTTATGCAAGCCCAAAACCAAGCGCGGAGAGGCAAATTATATCATCACCGAGCAAGACTTGAGAAACTATTACAATCGCGTCTGGCCTCCTGCCCCTGTAGCCAGTTCTCAAGATGAATCCCGTATGTCAGCCTTTTTGATATATCACATGAATTGCAGCCAAAGCTAATTCCCGCAGCCACGGAGGAAGAGAGCGGACCAAGCAGCTCGTCGGAGGGGTTTATAGTGGACTGATGTGTTGGGCAGGGCTAGGTTGGAGAGGGTGGCAGTGGCGGTGCGGCTTTTGATTACTTGTTGTACTCTCAGGTTTCCAGAGTCAAAGTAGATGAAATAGCTAATCGAGTTGCTAGTCGAGTGGGCGAATATAAATTATCCGGAGAGCTCCCCAGCAGCATCTGCTTGAGGAATTTACTCCCCTATCAGTTACTCCGGAGGTTACCTCTACTGTATCTGTACTTTCTCGAAGAAAGATATGGCACCCGGGGAGTTGTGAGGCCTTTTTGTTTCTTTTTTTCTTTTTTCCCGTTACCCAC